ATGCTACCAGCTTTAATGACCTTTTGGTAGAGTTGCTTTTTTGTTTTTTTGTTTTGTTTTTGAATGTGTATGAGTGTTTTGCCTGCATGTATGTCTGTGTACCACATGCATGCCTGGTCCCCAAGAAGGCCAGAAACCAGAATGAGATCCTCTGAAACTTGAGTTACAGATGTTGGTGAGCCACCATGTGGTGCTAGGAGTTGAACCCAGGTCCTCTGTAAGAGCAGCTAGTGCACTCAACCTCTGAGCCATCTCTCCAGCCTCCTCCTTTGGCGGAGTGTTAAGGAATAATAAAATTGAAAAACATGGGCAAGCAAAGAGAAAGATTACAAGAATGACTTGCCAGGCTCCCAAGTAACCTAAAAAGTAAACATAATCTTTTACCTTTCCTACCTCCACTAGATGGGTAAGAGGTAAAATAAAAATACATTCTTAAAATTCAAGCCCGCAATTATTTACTGAGTATCTGTATTTTGGATCTTACATCTTCAGGAGATGAGAAGATCATAACATTCATCCCTTGGAGACCTTATCAACTTTACAGAAGAAAAAGATTTACACACAAATAATTTAGATTAAAAAAGTATCATAAGCAGAAGAAATTGGGTGTCTTACTGCCACAGCCAGCCAGGGAACCCTGCGACTGCAAAGACCACATGCTTGGAATTCCTTAAATACAAGAGACTGTTGGAAGAGACAGAACTTTCCTTTAAAACAAGTTGAAATAAAGTCTATCAACCTTCAATATTTCCTTCAGTTCCCTCCCTCAGGGAAAATCTGCTAAGTGCAGTGTTATTCACTCTGTCTAACAGTTGAAGGATGAGCTTACTAAGACTTGAAGCCCTGGCAAGTCCCCCTAACCTCATTGTAGTATGTTTTTGTTTGTTTTATTGTGTGCATAACATTGGAAAAAGCATTTTGTCCATTTCATGCCATGCACTGTGGGTAGTTAGATGAGTAACACACAGGCCTACCATCAAAGATCTCCTAAAAAGACACTTGCAGAGTTCAGTTCAGTGCATCAACACCAGGAAATGTCCAAGGTACCTGGGACATAGGAGAGCACACATCTGTCCACTCACCTGTTGGTGACACTAAGCTGGATCACTCAAGTAACATGTCCTTCACCTGACTGCCACTATCTGTAGATATCTTTGCCATTTTTAAGTCTAGTGAGGAAGCAGAAGATGGGAAGGTGCAGAATTTATGGAGAAAATGCAGACAAGCCAGCCAAAGAATAGTGAAAGGAACGATGTCACCAGGTAAAGGGGATGATAGCAAAATACCCACTGAAGAAAAATTATAGCATGAGTGATAAGAATGTTGAATGCTAATGAGAGTAAACAAGGGGTTCTGGTGGCCAATACTGAGATTTCTTTGTTGTCTAGACCTCAGCTTCTTAAACTGTGGGTTGTGACCCCATATGGGGTCCAGTAAATGAATTTGGGGGTCTGGGTAAATTTGCTAACAGTCAAAGGTTCCTGAACTTGCAAAAGGTCAAAGGGTAATACAAAATCAGACGATGAATCTCAGGTGTCTCTGACATTCGCCTGTGTTGCACAGCATGGCTTCACTGCAGCCTTGTTTCTGAACATGCAACACACATGCTGCACTGTAGGTCCAGTGATACTACGCAGTGCCAACACATACTGCCTCAAACATTTCAGCTCAGACTCAAGGCCGTTTGTGATGGATTGCAGTGTTTCTAGTACATATACAGTTTTCTGCTCTTGCAGAGACATAATGGCTTAATCATAGAAAACAAAGACTTAATATTTTCCTTATTTCTCAGCATGTAACCACCATTATAAGTATACTAGTGAAATTAGTAAATATCTTGGGGTTGGATTGTAACAGATGGTTTAAGAATTTCTAGTTGCTGACTCTGTTTCATTAAAAATGGTTAAATGAATTTTGACATGGGATTAGACAAAATTTCCAGTAATTTCTGAAATGGCTTTAAATATATTTTTGCTCTTTTCATTTTATATTACATATTTATGCAAAGTGGCATCCTCTGCACTGAAAATCATAAAAATAGAAATGTTGGTCAGTTCTAAATAATGAAGATGTGGTAAGCTGGATCAACATACAATATTCAGCCAAGATTTAATTTTTTATGTAAAAATAAGCACACCTATCTTACTAGTGTGAAAAATTGCCTTCCTCTTTAGTGAACAGTAAAACTGTATGCACAACAGAGGTTTGTTTTTTAAATAAGTTTGTGATTTTATTGCCAGTAAATGTCTGATTCATATAGCTATTTTATATACCTATATGTCCAAGGTCACTTTCTTGGGTGAAAGGGATCATGAATGAAAAAGATTTAAAAGGCCTGTTCTAGGCCCATGGTATCCAACATATGGTGTGCTCTGGAAAGCTGAAAATTTTTGTCTAAATATTTCTTCATGTTCATGTATATTTTGTAACTGGTTATGCACGCACATTCCTACCATCTCCTTAACTGAAATTGGGACTTTAAAGGGATGACTGGGGATGAAGAGAGACAACACTATAGTTAATAAAAACAATCCAGAACAGGGGCATGGCAGAGGTGAACACAGGATGATTAAAATTCAAGGCCAACCCAAGCTCCATGAAACCCTGTCCCCCACCAAAATCAAGGGATGAGGATGGAGTTTAGTGGTAGAGTGCTTGCCTGGCATGCCCAGAAGGACCTGGGTTGAATAAACAATACCAGGAGGAGCTGTCTAGCAGATAGCTATATATAAACCTGGCGATGTGGGACGGCCTCTGAAGAACAGGTAGATTGGTAGCCATCTGCTGAAAGCATGAGCAAAGAGAGAGGTGAGCAATGGAGTAACCCATCTGTAAGAAAAGATTTCACCTTTGTTCAGAAGCATAGGCAGTGCTGGCTGCTGCTATTTTAAGTTCTCAAATTTATGAAACACAAATTCCATAGCTACTAGGCCTTACTACTAGATAGTTGCCTACTCTATTTTTTTTAAAACAAAGTCTCATGATATAGAAATGTAGGATATAGATATATGATAGGATAAAAGGGTAGATTATTGAATCTATTTTTTTTTTTTTTTAGAAAGACGTAACTAGCTTTATAATTTAAGTTTTAAAACATAAATACTTGCAACTTAATCTGCA